TTGGGAAATGCTCCAAAGATATGACCTGCTTTAAATGCGGGAAGACTGGTCATTACGCCAGCGAATGCACAACCAAGAGAGAAGTCTGCTTTAAGTTTAGTGAAGAGGGACACTTCAAACAAGACTGCCCAAAGAGAGAAGGGGCTACGAAGCCAAATGTTCCGCCAAAGCCAAAGGCGAGATCATTTCAAATGATCATTGACGAAGCAGATGAAAATGCAAGGATTCAGGAGTGAAGGCTTGATATCAAGAGAACGAGTTATGAAGTAGTTGTGTAGATAGTACCACGTGATGTAGCCTATTAGAGGCATAGTCTAGGGTGAACTTGAACACCTATGTAATCATTTCAAGGAATAATATAAAACCTTCGTTTTGATATTTGATGTGTTAAGTTGTTATGTGAATTTCTTGTATGGTGACTTGGAAAACTACGGGACAATACTTGGGATGAGTATGAGTAGGTGTGAAAGGTAGTAGAGGCCTATACTACCGAAAGCACAGGACTCACGCTTAGATCAGGGAAAGTCACAAGGTTACCAAGAAACTAGTAATCGATTTCGTTTTATTCAAGTAGGTCTTATCATCGTTTCGGTAATGATTAAGGAGATTATTGTTATTCCGACCCTAGTGGTCATATCGAATTGAGTCCGACTAAGACGAGTATGTTACATGGTTCAGAGAACCAAGTCTGATGTAGCGCCTGATTCAAGCAGAAAGAATTAATCAAAGCAATCAGTAGAGGTATCACGATAGTTGCTTGTAGCTAGGAATGTGAACTTTTAAAATGAGATTATATCACATTAGAACATGAAGGAAGGTATAATCTGTTTTGGAATTTAACTCTAAGAGACATGAGTCTAAACATACATCACATGATGATAGGTCATAATTTGGAGTCTAACCTGAGGTAGAGAGCAGGTGCACGATCGAGTACTGCTTACAGTCAGTAAGTCTAAGAGATAGACTTAAAGGAATATAGAAGTTATAATTATTACCTAGGATGAAGAGAGGACGTATGGAGTCACTATACGATCCCTGTTTCGTTAATGATTCTGGGACGTAATCATCATAAGGGGGCGATAATTGTAACGCCCGTAGATCCGGGCTAGTAAAATTAGAGGCAATAAGTGTCGAAAATGACTTTTCGGAAAAAATATTGTTTAGAATAAATAATTTGAACCAAGTTGTAGTATATGTCACAAGGTTTCCGTACATATAAAGAACACCGAAATAAGAGTTATAACGAGGAAGTTATGACCCACCGAAGTTTCGCGACGGAACCAGCATGACACCGGGAAGCGTAAATAGTGAATTTACAATATAGCGACTTTTGTCGTAGAATACGTTAAACCGAGAGCATCCATAAAAAGAACGCCCAAATCTGACTTCATATGAAGAAGTTATGATTTTTCGAAGTCTCGACTCAGCAGTATACAGCCCAAAATTCGAATATCAGATCGAGCGGTTTTTTAGCCAACATGACCTAAAAGAGAATCAAAGATCTCGTTAAGAGTAGTGTAACGAGAAAAAGATAGACGAAAACGGATTTCGGATGAAGAAGTTATGAGAATTTAACGGACCATTCCTGCCCCGCCTGTTAATAATGTAACTTTTAAAATAGGATCAAAATTAGCCGATGGAGTCTAAATCAAAGTTGTAGAGTACGTTCCCGCCTTCGCGTGGATATAAAGAACGTCAAAAACGGAGCTCGTATGCGAAAGTTACGAATTTTTAAAGTTGAAACATGAAATTGCGAAGTCTGGAATAAAATCGATAACGTAGCGCGTTCTGAACCGTCCATCGCTAATCAGTGCTCGCTCCTGATGCAGCCACGTCAGCTCGCTTCGGCCTTATCCTTCCGATGAATGTGAGACATCTGGATCCAAATGGAGCCCTTATCCGAGGAACACCCAGCGTAGCCAAGGACTACGCCCAGCGTAATCCGAGGCCACGCTAGGTATAAAAGGGGAGCGAGGGCCTCCAACTTTTTCACACCAATTTCTTTCTCTCTCTAAGGGTTTTAACCCTCCCCTAAGCCTAGGTGATCCCCTAGCACCCTAAGGAAGCCTCGAGGCTCCCGGAGTCCCGAGAAAAAGGGTCTTTCGGTTTCGCAAACGCTGCTCCGAGCAAAGCCTGGTTTTCTTTAAAATCCGCTGTAAGTGAGCTACGCTTGCGCAATTTTTAATATAGCTTTCAAATAATTATAGTAATGTTATTAGGTCCTTAAAATAATTATTTGAGCTATTATTATGAGTTATATTGAGTGTTATTTAATGCGTATATAATAGTAATAATAGTCAGACTATTAATTAGTCGCGGTTAACGTTAGACTTAACTTTAGTGGTAATGATACTAGGTTTTATTGAAGGAAAATTGTTTTAAGAGTATCGAAGCGCTGTTCGAGTGCTAAGTCATCACCTTTCATGTGAGTGCATAGTCCCTTTCATGAACATGATTTTAATACAAGTATTGATTGAACGTATTAAATATATGTGTATGTGCGAATTATTTGATGTTGTCTGAATTACATGTTAAAGAACATACCCGGTTATTTATAATGATTTAGGTTAATGAGTAAACCTAAAATTTGTTATGAGTGTCATTGGGTAGTATCTCCTTATGAGTATGGTGAGATATATACGGGGAATAGAACCCTTAAACATGTCATTAATCCAGAGGCACAGATTAGACATAGTCATTTGTCCCTAGTCCGAGAGTATGGATTGGACTCAGTCAACTGTCGTTAATCAGGGAGTATGGATTAAGACATAGTCAGTTGTCCTTAGTTTGGGAGTATGGACAGGACATAGTCATCCGTCATTAATCCGGGAGTATGGATTTAGACACAGACTAATTGTCCCTTACCCAAGAGTACGGAATAGGTACAATCAAGGACTCGAGAGCATGGATTAGATCTGGAGTAAGAGGTAAAATTTAAGGTCCGTGAGTATGGATAGTCTCGTTGTGAGGACTGACGGGGTGGGGTAAGAGTTGATTATATGTATGGGGAAATCATATATTGTGTGAATTTTTATATATATGTATAACATTGTGGGATTGAAATCCCTATGTACTCACCAGGTTTCCCAACCTGACCCATTCAGTTTATTTATATCACAGGTGTTGATATGAAGTCACATTACACTGAGAGATTTAAAAGATATGTAGATCACTAGTGATAATGAATGTAATATTCTGTTTATACTAATGTTTCTGTATTGACGATGACATCCCAAATGTTTCAAAATGAATAAAAATACTTTTCTTCGGAAACACTTTGATAACGTATTGATCATGTTTTACTGGGAACAAATTCCGCAACATTTTTATTAAAAGATGTATTCTGATTTTTATAAAGCATAAACAAAATCGGTCTTTTCTGGCTGTGAAAATGAGGATGTCACAGTCTTCAACCGAAGAGCTTCGGGTGTTACGTCCTTACGGAATTCCTTTGTTGCCTTCTTAAGTAATCCTCCTCCTTGTCCTTTCCCTGCCACTAGCTAAATACTTTCCTGGGTCGCGCACATTTAAAGTTTTTAAATGGGTAAGCCTAGGGCCTAGTGAGTTCGTGTTGCACATACATGTTCATCACTTAAAAAAACAAATTTTATCATATATGTTCAATAAATCATACAACAAACATAACACCCGATGACGTAATTTAGAGGAATGATTAATTATGCATAGAAAGAACCGAAGATTCATTTCCCTTCTCCTTGAGACAACTCATCATCCATTGTACTCAAGTTTTATAAATATCCAAGGAAATGAGTATAAATCTCAATTCTCATCCCCGCCGATCACACACATCCATCATGCTCACGACGATTAAACACCGTTCCCACAAAACATGTTACCCAAAAAAACGCACAAAAGATAAACAACTCCAAATAACATCTTCACGCAACCATACTTATCATAAAATATATTATGAATAAATAAATAAAAACCACATAATAAACGCATGACAAATATTTATGTGCGAGCAACCACAGAACACGAGAAAACTCACCTCGTTGGTGTTATGTCTTAACCGAAGTTTACTACGCTACCCGCACCCTACATTCCACCAACCAGTATTTTCTAAGACCATAATCCTAGGAAAGCATCCTATGTCTTTATTTTGGATCAACTACCTATATGTCTCATTCGACCAACCAATAATTTTTTTTAACGTATTTACCACATTTTATTATATATATATATATATATATATATATATATATATATATATATATATATATATATATATATATATATATATATATATATCGTAAATGCCAACTTTGCATAAATTAGATATATTAATGTATGATGTCACCTTTAATTTACTTGCTACCTTAAAAAAAACATGCCAAACAATGAAACATTTAAAATATGGAGAGTTATGGTTTAAGGTTAGTAATAAAACTAATATTAATAAAATTTGAGCAGATTGTTAAGACTATAGGGACCATTCTTGAAAATATCAGTTTTTCAATTTAAAATGAATAAAAAGAAGGTAAATAGTTGTTACAAGGAAACTGATCTTTCTTTTTTTTTCAAAACCAAAAGGACTCGTTCCGAAAATTTGAATCATTATACATATATATTAAATTTTTCGTTTCTTATCTACTGTAATGTGTTGTGTTTTAGGATACTTTTAGTCCTTCTACTTTCGAAGTTTGTCTATTCTTTATTTTTCTTTTCTTTTGTAAGATTCTTCGTTTTATCCCTGTACTTACTTTTGTTTGTTATTCCCTTATTTTATCCATTTTCCTTTTGTTAACGTCTACCGGTGACTTCTCTCTACGTGGCCTTTTCTCATTTCCTTTATGATCCACGTGTTATGCTTCCTAATTTCTTTCTTCTTTCTTCTCCACCGTTCTTCCTTTTTTGTTCTTACTTCTTTCTTCCAAAAGGTAAATTCCGTCTCTTCTGTTGTCTTTCTTCTTTCGTCTCTGTTGTCTTTCAGTTGTTTTCTGAGTTTTTTTTGTCACTTTTTTTTCGATCGATTTATTATGGCCCGTCGACCGAAACGGCTATCTTCACCTGGTGCTTCATCCTCTGTTCCAAGAACTCGCAGGTCACGCCATTCTCTCTTCTTTGCTGGCCTTCCTGACTATGTTGATTCGGGTGACTGTACGTGTGTTTGCGAATTTTGTGGCGCCTATTTCTGGTATGTTGAAAGGGCGCTCAAACTTTCTACGCCTGCTCATCCGAAGTATTATCATTGTTGTCGGGATGGTGATGTCGTTCTTCCTTATCCTTCGAGGTTTCATCCTGAATTTCTCGATTTGTATCAAAATGCTACATTTTTGAAAGACATTATCGCATATAATAGCATGTTCTCTATGACTTCATTTGGGGCGAATATAGATAAGTCTGTCAATGACAATCGGGGCCCTTATGTTTTCAAGATATCTGGTCAAATTTGTCATAGGATAGGATCGTTGTCCCCGGATCCTACAAAGGGCCCTAGATTTCTGCAGCTTTATCTTTTTGATACAGAGAATGAGGTTCGGAATAGATTGAGGGCTTTTGGAGGTCTGACGGGAACGGATTTAGATCCTAATATTGTGCAGTATCTGGTTACATTCTTAGGGGCTAACAACGAGGATGTAAAAACGTTTAAAACAGCAAAGACCATGGCTGAGGAAAATAATTTAGAAAATTATAGTGTACGGCTGTTTAACAACGTTGTTGATCGTAGGTATGAATTCCCTTCCCCTGGATCCTTGGGATGTATAGTAACTGGTGATGACACTACCAGTATGACATATGACATTGTTGTATTTTTGCATTCGGGTCGGCCTCAACGCATTAGTAAATTGCATCCCTCTTATATGCCTTTACAATATCCACTTTTGTTTCCTTACGGTGAGGAGGGGTGGTCACCCCGTTTGAAGATGCGTAATCAGAGGGGAGTAAGTGCAAAAAGTCTCACTGTCAATATGTATTACGCGTACCATATACATGCCCGACACCAGATTTGGTCTCCAATTGTAAATGCCACTAGGCTTTTCCAACAATATTTAGTTGATGCATATACGTGTATAGAGGAAGGCCGATTGGATTATATAACCAAACATCAATCAAACTTACGTTCCGATTATGTGAGTGGGCTTTATGATGTGCTATCAAAGGGGGACCGGGAAGCACGTGTTGTTGGTAAGCGTGTCTTTTTGCCCGCATCATTCACTGGTGGTCCCCGGTTTATGTATAGCCATTATCAGGATGCGCTTACGATCTGTAGAGTTTATGGCAATCCACAATATTTTATCACTTTCACATGTAATGTGAAGTGGCCAGAGATTACCCGCTATATGGACACACATTCACAGAGAGATGTACACAGCAGAGCGGATATCATAGCCAGAATGTTCCATGTGAAAGTCCATGAGTTTATCGATTTCCTTAAGAAGGACAAAACCTTTGGCGATGTTGATGCATGTACGTTTACATTTCTTTTTCTATATCTGCTAGCCTAATGATCGTTTGTATCAAATGTTACCCACAGTGTATAAAGGTCAATAACAACCAAAAGTTTACAGACTTATGTCCTTTTCCATGTTACTGCTTTATTTGTCTGCCTATCCAATATGTTGGTTGTGGAAGTTAATACCTTCTTTATTTATAAGTCTTTTACTAAATTTATATTACTTCCAGTATGGTCCCTGTGCTATCTGTTTTGTTTTATATGCATCCCTACAACTGCTTTAACCGCATCAGATATGTTATTTTGTTTCCCATTTTACCCCTGCTATGTGATCTGATATTGCAGCTAATTAACTTATGTCCTTTTCCATGTTACTTCTTCATTTCTCCACCTATCCAATCCGTTGCTTCAGGAAATGAATACCTTTGTTATTTCCAAGTCTTTTACTAAATTTATATTAATTCCGGTTTTCGCCCTGTGCTATTCTTTATTTCTAAGTCTTTTACTAAATTTATATTAGTTCCACTTTTGTCCCTATGCTATCTGTTTTGTTTTATATGCATTCCTACAACTGCTTTAACTGCATCAGGTATGTTATTTAGTTTCCCATTATACCCCCGCTATGTGATCTGATATTGCAGCTAATTAACTTATGTCCTTTTCCATGTTACTTCTTCATCTGTCCGCCTATCCAATGTTTTGCTTCCGGAAATGAATGCCTTCGTTATTTCTAAGTCTTTTACCAAATTTATATTAATTCCACTTTTGCCCCTGTGCTATTCTTTATTTCTAAGTCCTTTACTAAATTTATACTACTTCCAGTTTCGTCCCTATGCTATCTGTTTTGTTTTATATGCATCCCTACAACTGTTTTAACCGCATCAGATATGTTATTTAGTTTCCCATTTTACCCCTGCTATGTGATCTGATATTGCAGCTAATTAACTTATGTCCTTTTCCATGTTACTTCTTCATTTTTCTGTCTATCGAATGTGTTGCTTCTGGAAGTGAATACCTTCGTTATTTCTAAGTCTTTTACTAAATTTATATTAATTCCGGTTTTGTACCTGTCCTATCTGTATTATTTTATATGCATGTGTACAACTGTTTTAACCGCATCAGATACGTTATTTATTTTCCGTTTTTACCCCTGCTATGTAAACTGATATTGCAGCTACTTATCAAAATACTAATATCCTATTTGCCTTTTTCTGATTTAAGTCAGTAAAATTTATATTAATTCCACTTTTCCCTCTATGCTATCTGTTTTGTTTTATATGCATTCTTACAACAAATTTAACCACATCAACTATGTTATTTATTTTTCCATTCTACCCCTGCTATATAACCTGGTATTGCAGGTAATTATCCAAATACTAATGTCCTATTTCTCTTTTTATGATTTCACTCTGTGTGAAATTGGTTAATTATACATTTGTATTATTAAGTTTTTTTATAAATTTCTTACCATTTCTTCTTTTGCTCCTATTTTAAGTGTTATATTGTATGCACATTTAACAGATTTATTTATTGAAATGAAATATGATAACAATTTTAATTATTTGCTGATTTTCCACACTGTTTACTTTCATCATTTGTTCAAGTGTTATTTTCCTTACTTTTGTATAACCTTTGTAATTCTTAACTGTTTTACTGTATATAGACTATAACAAAAAACTTATTTAAATCTAATATCATAGTTATAACCCATTATTTTTTTTAAGCTTATGGTTTATCGTTGTTTTCTCCCTTTTTTAACTCTCTCAAAAACATAACATCTTCCATTTAAATGACTTATTTGCCAAATCTTGATTATTTCCTCTTTTGCCATTCTAACAAAGTATACAACTATATAAATTTTACCAGGTTTTTTATCATTATCTTTTGCCACCATTTGCCTTAATCACCGCATACTTCACTCTTACATGGATACACTACCAAAAATTATCTATAACCTTTTTGTCCCATTCAGGTTTATGTTTTTAAATTTACCTGTACCTAAACATCAGTCTTTCAAAAATTAAAATTTTCCCTTTATTTGTAGATCTTTTCTTTTTATCGTTCCGTATTCTAATTTAATATCTATTGCGTTTTTTTTTAATTTTATACGTTAGCTGTTTTACTACTCTGTCATTGACTTTCACTTTATTTTCATTTTCATATATTTCCCTATCACATCTGACAATTTTATATCCTAAGTCCTGTCATCTAATTGCATTAATATGTAAAACGACATTACAGTTCTTCTTACGACTTTCATAGTTATGTAAATAGAATTTTATTATTCATGCCTTTCCCAGCGGTCCTATGTGATCCTTATATTTGAAAAAACTAACATCAGACAAATTCGTCATTATTGCAGATTTATATACTATCGAATTCCAAAAAAGGGGTCTATCGCACTGTCATACTTTGCTGTGGATAAAGGCAGCTGACCGAATAAAAAACGCATCGGATGTCGACATGTACATAACAGCTGAGATGCCAGATCCAACAACAGATCCGACACTATATCAGACAATCACAAGCTGCATGATTCATGGACCATGTGGACCACTAAATCCAAAAGCTCAGTGTATGAAGGACGGTAAATGTAGTAAAGGTTATCCTAAACCTTTTCTTCATGCTACATTGTTCGATACTGAGGGATACGTTCGGTATAAACGAAACCCAAATTCACACCATATGACCCTATCCGGACAGGTTATAGATAACAGATACGTTGTTCCGTACAACAGAAGGCTTTCCTCACGATTTCAGGCACACATCAACGTCGAGTACTGCGGATGGAATATAATGATTAAATATCTCTTCAAATATATTTCTAAAGGGGCAGACCGCGTCAGATATGCAATCCAAAAGGCAGAATCGCCCCGCGCGTCCGCTTCCGTCACAGTGGATAGCCATCATAACACACATGGAGGTTCAGCGGTTACTCCTGTGAACGAGGTGCAGAATTTTCTAGATGGTCGCTATATCTGTCCCCACGAAGCAGCTTGGCGTATCCTAAACTTTCACATACATCATCGGTACCCGCCAGTTCAGATCCTGTCTGTACATGAGCAGAACATGCAGCAATTATTATTCAAGGAGGACAGCACAATACCTCAAGTGCTGTCAAACCCATTCAGCTCTGTCACCACACTTCTAGGTTGGTTTCGCAACAACAGGAGGGATCCAAGTGGACATGAACTTACATATCTAGAATATCCAAAGTCTTACAAATGGGACAAGTCATCTAAATCCTGGGAGCCTAGAGTTGATGACTCCTCAAAGGTGCTTGGCCGACTTGTCTTTGTTCATCCAACATCTGGCGAGTTATTTTACCTATGAATGCTACTCTGTCACCAAAAGGGTTGCACATCTTTTGAAGACCCGCGGACCGTTTCTGGCACCATTTATCCTACGTATAGGGCTGCATGCAATGCATTAAAATTGATTGGTGATGATACGGAATGGTTATCTGCATTCACAGAGGCATCAATATGGGCGACCTCTGCACAACTTCGTTCCCTTTTCTGTCAACTATTGCTTTTTTGCGAAGTTAGCAGTCCACAATTGCTTTGGGAATGCGCATGCGATAAGATGAAAGATGACTACCTATATTCCATAAAAAGAGAAATGCCAGATAGGGGACTTAATTTGTTGCAGACATAGTACATCAGCAACTGCTCAGCGATCTCGATCACACCTTACGCTCTTCCGTACCACCTAAGTCAATGGCGGCATTTGGTCTTCCAGTCCCTTCAAATGATGTACATGGTATTTTGCAGAATCGTCTTCTACTTGAAGAAATGAGTTACGACAAAGAAGCTCTACAAAGAGAACATGATAATATGCTGCCAATGCTAAATTCTGAACAGTTGTCAGTTTACAATTCTGTCATCTCTTCAATTGAAAACAATGAACAAATACTGGTCTTTGTATATGGACATGGGGGTACTGGAAAAACCTTCCTTTGGAGAACAATTATCTCCCATATTAGATCCAAAGGGAAAATTGTGCTGGCCGTTGCTGCTTCTGGAATCGCGTCCCTTTTATTACCTTCTGGGAAAACGGCGCATTCAAGGTTCAAAATTCCTATTGACCTAACAGATAAGAAATCATGTGACATAAAAAAGAGAACATCCCTTGCCGATCTTTTACAGCGTACATCACTCATCATTTGGGATGAGGCACCAATGAGTGACAGAAGATGCTTTGAGTTTCTTGACCGCTCTCTTAGGGATGTCTTAGATTGTAATGAAAAGTTGTTTGGAGGCATATCAGTTCTACTAGGTGGTGATTTCCGACAAACCCTCCCAGTCCTACCAAGATCAACACGTTCGGAAATCATAGCCTTAACACTTCCATGTTCATACCTGTGGGGGTCTTTCACTGTTCACATCCTACACACGAACATGAGAGTTAATTCTTCTGAAAGACCCACCGGTTGTTCAATGTCCACGTCGGCTTTCACAGGTTGGTTGCTTCGTATGGAAATGGACAGATGGAGATGCCTGACAATGACGACCCTCGGGACACAAGTTGGTTAGAAATCCCTGACTCTCTTCTAATAAAACCCGGAAATGACTCCCTAAATTCATTAATAAATTTTGTATATGGAGATGGTGTCCTTAATAATCCGACTGCGGTTGACCTTTCGGCAAGAGCTATAGTTACGCCGACAAATGATGTTGCAGACAACATAAATACAACGGTTTTTGGGATGGTGTCATCGGAGGAGAGAACCTATAAGAGTATAGACATTATCCAACCAATCGGCAAGCGTACATCGGATTTTGAGGGCCTGTATCCAACCGAATACCTAAACCAACTCAATTTCCCTGGAATACCACCTCATGAACTTACACTAAAACTCCATTGTCCCATAATGTTGCTAAGAAACATAAACCAAAGAGAAGGTTTATGTAATGGTACACGACTTATAGTGTCGCAGTTGCTAACAAACATAATTGAAGCAACAATCATGACTGGCACCTTCATTGGCAAGCGCGTTTACATCCCCCGTATAAAGTTTATACATAAGTCAACAGATATGCCATTTACTTTCTCACGAAAACAATTTCCACTGAAAGTCTGCTACGTGATGACTATCAACAAAAGCCAAGGACAGTCACTACGTAGAATTGGTGTATATTTAGCACAACCTGTTTTCTCGCACGGTCAACTCTATGTGGCCCTGTCACGAGCAACATCACCAGATTCCATAAAAATATTGATAGAAAATACAAACCCAATTCACCTGAATCAAACAAAAAATGTTGTTTTCAGAGATCTATTGGAGAAAGTTAATTCACCTCAGGTCCACAGTATCACTGCCAATCCCCTTTCCAACATTATCATACCTTTCATAGAGCGCTATCTAAATATATGTTTTTATTTTATTTTATTTTATTTTTTGTTTACTGAGTGACAAGTTTCAAACCTTCTTATACTGTTCATAAAACATTATCTAAAATTTTTTTACACTTTTATTATATGTATCTTTAATTATATTTATTTTTACATACCTGTACTGTATGCTTACAGCATATCCTACATTTATATCCGAACATGACACTCATTTTGATATGTTTATTCGACATACAAAATACAGCCGACCAATGAGTAGCATTTCTGAGCTAAAGACGGATGGTATTGGAGGCCCATTACAAGTTAGAATAGTACGTAAATGGAGACACGGCGTAAGGCGCTATGAAACCTGGTATCTGGCTGTCGACAAATTTGTAAGTCATCTTCAAATACAATTTTTTAACAACTATGTATCAATTTCTACATTAAACATACCATTCAAATACCATATACAAAGCCTTACATTATATCATTTTTCTTTTGTCAAAAGGGTGATGCCATACAGATTCTTGGTCAACGAACTAACCAGAGCTACATCGAATCTATTCTCAACCTTTCGCACTACTATACCATCTCGGATTATAGCTGCCCCATGTTAGACAAGTATCAGAAATTCCTACAAAATGACTTTTATATTGATTTCGGCCTTATGTCTGTGATAGAACAGATTCCGGACACACTGACAATACCGAAAACTGGTTTCACTTTCTCTCAAAGCGACAACTCATAGACCTTGGAGACACACCATCTTATTACCCAGGTACGTACATCCTTTCCCACCTCATCAAATGCACACCCCTAACACAATTAAATTTAATTTTCCTTAGACTACATTGGTGTCCTCTCAAAAATCAGAGACTGCGTGAAAGTGGGTGGTGAGTCATACATATTGCTGATTTTAACTGATGAAAGGTACATATTTCATGTAACAAAATTTATTTTCGACTTCCCTTACACCGACCTAATACAAAACACATTATCAATACCATTAGTGGTAGTGAACTCGCGATCAATTTATGGAAAGAGTGCATAACCAATCCACAGAAATTCGATCGCAACTCCTTGCAGCCACCGCCAGCAACAACAGTTGTCGCTGTCACTAACTTAAAGCCTTCCATATCTAACGGTCTGATCTCCATACACAACATCATACACACACTATTCACAGCTGTCATGTATTCACCACAAACATTTGTAACACGTAAATTATTTATATATAGGATATCTGCGTCACGGTTCATCACATGCTACCCATGTCTATGTCAACCCAGACATACCAGAAACAACATCGCTTATAAACCTGTAAGGCACCCATACAAACATTACACATCATGTCCAGTAAATTAACAACTGTATACTAATAACAACATGTTGTCAGATACACAGGTCCCTTGAGACCAATGCCACCACTAGCAGGCACACCGTCTACCCTAGGTGACATGAGAAAGAAAACCAGATCTGAACTCCTGGTAACATTTCTTCATTGGTAACTCCTTTTATAAACAACAATAACTCCATAGATTTATTTCGAATAACTTTACGACGACAGGATAAGACATTTCTGGTGCGCGCATCAATCAAAGACATTCTCTTCCAAAATAGTTGGTACCAGACAACATGCACAATATGCAAAGATCCCATTTTCAGAAGGGGCGAAAATTGGTTTTGTAGCGCACATGGACATATCGACAAACCAAACTACATGTAATCATCTTTAACAAAAATTTAACACATATACTAATTATACCACTGCAATGCTGACAAATATCTGTTGTACACAGATACAAATTGTCTGTTATCATCACTGATGCAACAGACTCCATACAAGCAGCCATGTCGGAAACATCATGTCGCAAACTACTCGGATCAAATCTTGACAAATTCATATCCGAGAACCCAATGACGAATCCAAACGTCCTGCCCATAAACATAACTAACGAGAGAGGAAATACAAAAACAATGTCCATCCAAATGATAAGAGCTTCAACGTCAGAAAACATACGGTTCATAATAATTGACCATGACCCACAAACAAGAATGTCCGACACATCAATTCCAACAACACCAGCTCCAACCAAAACGACAAGGGTACGACAAAACAATACATCACCGGGATCATCTACAGATAATCAAAATGTTGCACGTCCTCTAACTTATGACCTTGCAGGTATATAAATGCTGCCATACATTTAATTAACATATCAAACAAAATTTTCCAAACGCGGTCTATTAATACTGGTTCAACATCTGGCAGGTGCTACCCCAAAAGACAGTGATAACCAGATAAAGAAATAAAAGATATGGCGCTCAAATAGATAACAAACTTTATATTATCTAACCTAATATCACCATCTTTTGTAACCTAACAATACCAACATCACCCCTACGTATGAAAACTTTGTCTAAGTTGTTATCTACCTTTTTTTTACATCTCCTGTTCGTCTACATTTTACAAATCACATTACTAAAAAGAAAACATTTAACAAAATGACATCGATCAATAGGTTCTTCCAAAAAAATTTGCCATTCTAATACTCTAAATTTCACCTTTTAACATCTACTTCTTCCCCGCTTAAAAGGTTATACAGCATACACGGTTTGTTTTCCATTAAGAGTAACGATATGCACACCATCTGACCCCCACGTAGCGGGGCATGCATCTAGTTCAAAAGTAAAAAGGAATGCACACGTTTTGACAGGTGGGTTCCATCATTTTTGTTTATTACCACCACGTTTAATTATTATTATTATTATTTTACAACCCGTTCCTTTGCTACCCGCCCAAATAAAGCCCGAATCCATTTCTTCTTTGCCCGATGCTTCTTTTTTTCTTTTTTTTTCTGCCATTTTTGGACCTTCCAAAGCTTTGAGTTTTACCCAATTAACGTTGAATAAATTCTTAAAATCACCATTAAACATCTCCATTTCTTGTTTACATTTCCTTCTTTAAAATTTTTAACAATAAATATGTAACCATACGAATTTCAAGTTTCATTATAACAAAATTCTACTCTTTAAATTTTTAATAAATTGCTACTGGTTGGATCGAATTTGCGATAATAGATTGAGCCAAAATGCGTTTAACGTGCATAAAAATCTATCTAAGCAACTATATGAAGCTAAAAACAAAGAATCATACCTTAATTTATATAGAAACCCAAAAATCTTCACAACCTTCTACCTTCGATTTCTCCCTCATTTCTTCATCTTTTTCCGCAATTCCAGTGGGCATTCCACTCCATTTGTCGAACTCTTTATAATGCCCAAGATAGTTTAAATTATAACCCACTTAAACGACCGAATTTAAGTCTCTAATCAAGGTGACGGTTTTGAAGATTTAAACCTCATTATTTCTCCTAATTAAACTCAATTACTCCTAATTAATCACCCATTATTTTATTTTAATAGTATTACCAATTTATATATATTTATAATTTTATTTTAATTTGAGTTGTCACAAACTTCCCCCCTTCGAAAAATTATGTCCTCGGAATTTGAACTAAACAACCAAATACAGGTATTTGGTCTTGTTATCTCATACGTTTTCCCGTGCCGCATCTGACCCTTTAAGTTATTCTCACTGAGCTTTAATGAGTTGGATCTCCACATTCCTTAACGTCTTGAGCAGATAATTCATTTCTCGTTGTAAACTCTTCCAAAATGGTGACATGAAACTAAGGTTCTGAACAAATGAACGATCTCCTTAATAACTTTTCCCATAAGTATGTTTTTCCTAATGATACAATTTAGGGGGACATTTTAGATATCCAGAGAAAGAACCAATGGTCCGCTTCCCTTCCCACTTGACACAACACGTCCGTTGTGCTCAAGCATTTAAATATCCAAGGAAATGAGTAACGTCTCAATTTCCTATCTCCCGCTGGTCACACCACACTCGTTATGTTCCCAACTATCACACACCCATGTCCTCATTAAATGTGTCATCATATATTCGGCAAAAAGAATTCTAAGAACTTTCCACTTCTCCTCTACCGAGGATTCTTTCCGACCCTTCTTCAGTTCACCCAATACACCCAAGGTTACATCAATCATCATCAAATAAATTTTACTTGGTTCCTTCCTTACATACGACTTAGTGAATAAGTGACAACGTTAACCTTCCATAATCAATAAAGATCTTACACCTTCTTTGACTTTTGGTAATCCATGCTCATCTACAACGTCCCATCCTTTTCAAGTAGGTTATGCAACTATTAAATAAACCCTTTCATCCTTAGTGGTGCTAACCAGTAGGACCTTCTAGAACTCCCTTACCAAGGGTATATATGTCACATCATGTTCTCTATTTTATACCCATACATGTACATCTTTCTGATTATAATCTATGTTAGCTTGATTTCGACAACCAATCCATTCCTACCACAATAATCAGAATCTCACAGTGATATGAATACAAGTTTTAGAGGTGCAAAACAACTATCTATTTCAATCAAACAATAATCAAAATCCTCTCTTATTATTAGGTAATGGTTATCGTCATTCTCTATTTCTAGAGAAACTTTTACATTTCAATTTAGGCACTTACAAAAAGTAAAGAAAGAAAAATGTTTGCATCCATAGCCAATAGCACCCATAATATAGATTTACTAAGAAAGCACATGCCACTATATTGAGGTATCCTGAGCTTCTTGAGCTGTCATATGGAAAACTCTTCCTTTTGTTCTCGTTGTTTCTGCCTTTTCATCTCCCGACCGATTCCCTTTCTTTGTCAACATGTGTTAGTTATTATTACCCTTATTCTGAGGATAGTTTGATCTGATGTGATCTAGAGAGCCGCACCCATAACATACGTTCCCTACTTTACAACATGAAGCGATATGTCCTATCTTTCCACATTTATAGCAAGTTCTTTGGTTCATATTACACTCCCCTTTATGAAACTGTTTGCATATAGTACATTGTTCTATCTCAGACTGTTGCTCATAGTTACGATCTGAACTAGAAGTCTTGCCTTTCTTTGATTCTGTATTTAAAATTTCCAACTTTCGTTTTCCTGAATCCTTATTCTTACCCTGTCGATTCTTTTCCCGCTCTCGGCTTTCCGCGGCGTCTACAGCAGACTGGAGCTTACCTGGTTTCTAAATTTCTACAAATTCATGAATAGCGGTTTTTAGTCCCCAAATATACCTCTCCACCCTCCTTTCTTCTATAGACATGTAAAATTCGGCAAACCTAGGTTTCTCCATGAACTTAGTGGTGTACTTTCTCACAGTCATATTCCCTTGTTCTAACCTCAAGAATTCTTCCTCCAACTATTTAACCGTTGTTCGAGGGAAAAACTTTTCTCCAAGGATTATTAGAAACTCATCCCACGAAATCTTTTTGGCTACCTCATGCCCCTAACATCCTTCACCATGCCCCACCAATGTATTGCCTCCCCTTTTAACATTGTTGCAGCATAAATCACCTTGTCCTCATCTGCACATTTTCTAGTATCAAATGTTCCCTCGATCTCCATGACCCATGTTGATAACAAAACAGGATCAATTTCTCCGTTAAATACGGGTGGCTTACAATTCATGAACGTATTGTAACTACAGCCCCTTCGTTCATGGTTGTCAATTTGCCTTAATGGTTGTGCAATGCTTGGGTCAGGATTTGTATTGGATGTACTATACTCGTAGTTTTCTTCACCTCCGCCCAAGTTACCCTGGTACTCACTTATTATTGCATCTTGTGCCTAAGCAACTACATCTGGCAAGGTAGGGTGTATCACCCGAGCAATCTCATCAACTAACTCTTCTCTAGTGATCATGTTTGTCGCACGGCCCTTTTCGCGACCTTGACCTCGGCCTCGACCACGGTGGGAGCCAGAACTACCCTGGCCAGACGGTGTAGCAATCGGTGTTGTTACAGCTCCTCGCCCTCTTCCTCTACCCCTACCTCCTCCTCTTCCTTGGCCACGTCCTCGACTCGCATTAGGGATCAATGGAGTTTTCGGTACATCTCCAGGTGCTCTAACATAAGCTCCAACTGGAATTTGTTCTTCCTCCGAGGTGACCTTAGCAAACCTTCCAAATCTCCTTGAAGACATGATACCTACACGCGAGATGTGGTCTACTTTAGTTGTTTGATTACCTATCGTTCCTTCCGTTTAAGCTTAAGTGTTTATGAAAACACCTAATATGCTTAAACAACGCTCTAATACCAACTTGTAACACCCCAATTTTCATATATAGATTATATAACAAATATTCGTTCCACCATCTCCCAAGATCGAATATGAACTTGCTTATAGACTAAATTATAGCGGAAGCAAAATAAAAAAAAATACAGAGTCTTCAACCGAAGAGCTTCGGGTGTTACGTCCTTGCGGAATTCCTTTGTTGCCTTCTTGACTAATCCTCCCCCTTGTCCTTTCCTTGCCACTAGCTAAATAGTTTCCTAGGTTGCGCACATTTAAAGTTTAAAAATGGGTAAGCCTACGGCCTAGTGAGTTCGTGTTGCCCATACATGTTCATCACTTAAAAAAACATATTTTATCACATATGTTCAATAAATCATACAACAAACATAACACCCGATGTCGTAATTTAGGGGAACGATTAATTATCCAGAGAAAGAACCAAAGATTCATTTCCCTTCTCCTTGAGACAACTCATCATCCATTGTACTCAAGTATTTTAAATATCCAAGGAAATAAGTATACATCTCAATTTCCATCCCCGCCGATCACACACATCCTTCATGCTCATGGCGATTAAACACCTCACCCGTTCCCACTAAACATGTTACCCAAAAAAACGCAAAAAAGATAAACAACTCAAAATAATATTTTCACACAAGCATACTTATCATAAAATATACTATGAATAAATAAATAAAAACCACATAATAAACGCATGACAAACATTTATGTGTGAGCAACCACGAAACACGAGAAAACTCACTTTGTTGGCGTTATGTCTTAACCGAAGTTTACCAAGCTACCCGCACCCTACATTCCACCAACCAGTATTTTCTAAGACCATAATACTAGGAAAGCATCCTATGTCTTTATTTTGGCTCAACTACCTACATGTCTCATTCGACCAACCAATAATTTTTTTTTTTACGTATTTACCACATTTTATTCCAAATATATATCGTAAATGCCAATTTTGCATAAATTAGATATGTTAACGTATGATGTCACCTTTAATTTACCTGTTACAATAATAGAGTTTAACCCGTAAAAAAAATCATGCCAAACAATGAAACATTTAAAATATGGAGAGTTATGGTTTAAGGTTAATAATAAAACTAATAGAAATTGACAAAAATAGTCATTTACA